TTGTAAAGATAGATATCTGTGTATGTATCTGTATAGTTTTAGTTATCAGCAAAAGTCATTGGCCTAACACAATTTGTTTATTATTTGAATACAATCGATTTTGCGCACATTTAAATATATTTTTTTTGCTAGCCAGCTATTTTACACACAAAAACCTCCTTTCTAAAGACCCATATGTCCAGCAGTGGACTATTTAAGGCTGCTGATGTGATGTTTGATGTGTTGCTTGCTATTTTACTCTCGTTTGTCTCGTTTACCAGGTCAGTCCGGTTTGACCGGAGTAATACTATGGCCTCACGGAAGACCGGTGTTAAATAATTCTTTCGTTACCCAAGAGGAAGAGGCGCGATCAAAATTTTTACCCCCTCGCTCCTCGTTGACGTGGTATTCAATGCATTCATGACAAAATCCATTAAAAAAATATTAAAAACATTGCAAAATAAAAACATATATTCGATTTAAAATCTTTAATGTAACACATTAAATCTGCTTTTATGAGAATCTGCTTTTTATGAAAAAAAAACTGTATCCGAATTGTAGTTTAAGATGGTGCTTTAAATTAGCAACCAAAGAAAAAAACTATTAAGTTTTATTTTATTAGGTTAGGTTAGTTAGGTGCCTTGAAATAATAGCAAGTGCCTGATCTGGGCCGCCATATGTGTCAGCACTGTTGCTGCCAACCACCTGGGTCGCACCATCCGTGCCCCGTCCTGTGACCCCCCGTCCCTAAAGACGCCTGTGTGAGGAAGAGGATAAAGTAGCAGCCCGTAGCCGTTGAGACCTTGGGTAGTTGGGGTACAGACGCTAAGGTGTACAAGAGTTAGGGCGCAGGCTGAATGAAGTGACTGGTGACTCCCGCTCGTTCCTGGTGCAGAGGTTGGCCGTGGCCATTCAGCGTGGGAATGCAGCTAGCGTTATATGCACCTTTAGATAATAAATAAAACTAAAATTATAGATAATTTTAGTTTTATTTACTGGGAATCAATCAGTGTAATTTGTGATAATAAAATGTCAACAATATGTATGTCCTATTAGTATAGTAATCATATTTATGTCAATCAGCTTTTATAAGTTTTTCGAACGGAAACCCACTCAAAGTATGTTATATTATCATATTGTAAGCATGTCTAGTATAATTTAAACATAAAGAATTATTGTTCCATAGGGAGGCTTTAAGTTAATTACATACGGTTGAAGGTTTCTGTCCAATAAATTAACTTTCAAATGTACTTAGTCTGAGTTTATCGGGTTATACCTTTATTTACTTACTTATAAGTAAATTTTTTTTACTTACTTATAAGCTAATATTGCTTTTGCTCGCGGCTCCGCCTGCGTAAATGTCTATATCGCGGTAAAAAGCCTATGTTTTTCCTCAATAATCTAAGTATGGTCAAACCAAATTTCATCTAAATCCGTACAGCGGTTATTGATTCCCCATACAAACTGTTGTTACAAGACTGCAACACAAACAACATAACACCCAATTTTTTAAAAAATTTTTAGCTCTCTGCCACTTTCCAAACGCGAGTTATCAATTTTCCAAGGTTTGCAAAAAAAAAAACCTGGTTTTCTGCAAATTTCGAGCGATCTGATAATCCGATTTTACTCTCTGGGGGCTCATTATCTTTGTTTTTTTTTATTTATGTGTATTGCGCACATTTGTTGGATTCAATTTTTTCCGTAGGAGCTTTAGTTTTCGCTACAGACGTGAGAAACTGTATTTTACCATTTTGGACATTTTTTTTGGCACCTTAGCTGACAATATTTGGTTATAATTTTTATTGCAATCAATTCCTGATAGTTAAATTATTAATAAAAAAAAATCCATCCAATAGGAATTTGCCGAATTTTTATCATTTTTTTTGCTTCTTCTACTTGTCTAAGTATAGATACAATTTTTCCCTCAGTTCTTGTGATTTCTATTCATCTTGACCCGACTGCGAAAGAAGGAAGGTTATGTGTCTCGAGTATATATTATGACGTATGTATATTTCTTTGTGTGACAAAGGGCGGGTACGTACATGTGACTCCTGAGTTGCAGAAGGTTGCATGGGCAGCAGTAACCACTTATCATCAGGTGACCAGTCTGTTTGTTTGCCTCCCTAAGCCTTGAATTATAAACAAACAATACATAACGTAACGTAACGGGTAACGTGATATTGGTATCGATCGTATCTAGTTGCGGTCGGCGGGGGTTATGTAAGTTGGCTTCAGATCACTGTGTCAGGGTTGAGGTGCAGTGCCACTTACTTTATTTTATTGTATTGATTAATTTTCTCGTTTAAAAGCGGTAGAAGAAACTAGAGTGAATATAGAGTTACAAAAAACACAGAGCATGTAAAAAAAAAGTCAAGTATACAACTTGAATATTTTTTTGGTCATAAATAATTGGTCGTAGAGTTTTATGTATGTAAGACTGAAACTGGTATAATAATAATAATAATAATAATATTTTTACTGACATAGAAAAGAAGTACAATGCTTACATACATACATATTATCACAACAGCATCAGTGAAAACTTAAGCAGTCGAGCTCTGGCACCCATTGTAAGACTAAACTTGAGTCATGGGTACCAGTTCTTCTCACAGTTGTAGACTTATGATAAGACGCGTATGTGCGTGCGTGTGTCTCTTTCTGTGTCTTGTTTTGTGTGTGTGTGTGTGTGTGTGTTTGTGTGTGTGTGTGTGTGTGTACAATGTAAAAACTGTATAGCGTGTAACTTGTACATGATAAGTTGATTATTAGCCAAATATTAGATGACTAGTACCTATTTGAAAACCTGTTAAGTCAAAATTGTGGTTTTATAGATCATAAGTTGTTTACTTTGTGTAAATAATTATATTTAAATTTAAAAAGTTATATTTTTAAATAGCAAACATTGTTATAGACGTAAAACAACAACAAACGTTCTTATAAATGCAGATCTCAATTGTTTTGTCGGTAATTTTGTCGACCATATCATCATAATATTGAACTTGGCTCACATTTTCACATTTATACTTTTGGTGGGATTAAATATCTACACAAATTTTCTATGACTAGCTAGTACCCACGAATTAGTTCGTAAAAATGGCTGCCTTAGTGGGTTCGATGCCCGTACCGTTCAAATTTTTAAAGGGTTTTTCTGAGAGGAAAAATAGCCTAAGTTATTCATTATATAGTCAGCTACCTGGTAGTAAAATAATAACAAAATCTTTCCAGCCGTTTAGGAGATTACTCGGAACAAACAGACAGACAGACATACAGACAAACTGACAGACAAACAAAAAAAAAACTGGTTTTTAGGTATCGTGCTAATAACCGCGTGAGCATGAAAAAAACCTATTGTTTTGACATTACAAAACAGACACTTCAATTTTATTTATTTGTATAGATAAAATATATTATATATATTCTAAAATATCATCGATAAACGAGAAGATTCCTTTTGTGATGTCAAAATGATAATTTAGTCGATCATAGATTTTTATCGCTTGCTACAATATCATAAATAATTAACAGAATAAATCACAGTCAAATTTTACCTCACATCGCCAGGCAGCGCCATCTAGTGATGAAATTTATAACTAAGTTGTTAAAGTATCTAAATTATATATTTAGATCTATATTGTAAAATTAATACACAACGTTTAAAATTTAATATATTAGTTATCCTTAAAAAACAAAGAAGAAACAGTGAAATGACAAATAATATAGTAAAATAAAAGAATCGTAGCGATGACCTCAAATAAAATTGGGATAAGGTTAGGTTAGATGATAATTTGTTATCCTTAAAAACAAATCATTTCAGTCTAGACGAAATTATCATTATTTTAATCTTTATAATATTTAATCAGTATTATTTTTAGCGACTTAAGATAAAAATGAATATATTAATATTTATTGTTATTCTGTTCTATCAATTTAAATCAGGTTATTAGGTAAAGTTTGCTTTGCGGAAAAAAACTCATATTGGATACTCTTGTTAATATAAGTATTCAAGTTTTCATAGAAATTAAAATATTACCTACTAGCTTTTGACCGCGACTTCGCCCGTGTGTACCGCGGTAAAAAGTAACCTATGTTACTCGCTGATAATGTAGCTTACCATTGGCTAAATAATTTAAAAATCGGTTTACAAGTAGAGACGTTTATAGTGTGGCGGAACGGGTGTCATGTCCCTCCAACATCATGCCTGGCGGGCCGCGGCCCAACGGTTGATGTTGGGAAGTTGTATATATGCTAATCGGCGAGGGAATTCTTTATATCGCGATACAGGATTAGCAATTCTTATTTTAGTAGTTACTCCGTAGTTCGGTGTGTCTTCATTAGATGGCGCTGTAGTATGTTTATGTGTCGAGTCGCCACAATAGTATAAGTATATACTTCCAAGTATGGGTATTTATTGTTTGGGCTGTAGAATTCTGACATCATTTAAGGCGACAAAACATACTTCCTCTTCGCTGGGATGATTGACACTTAACACCAATTTTTTTTGAATTGTCGCTTGCTTTTTTTCTGAACCGATATGACTTTCTAAACTTAAGTAAAAAAAGGGCGTATTTTCTCCTGAGAACTTGTATTTTATACGCCTTTTATTAGCTTCACCTGTCTGTTTGTTTGTAACCGACTCCTTTGGGCGTGATTTTGACTGACTTTTAAGCGGTCAGAATTCGTAGATAAATCAAGGACCGATGACAATACACTAATTTAAAATAAAAATATATAATATTTAAAAAAAACTAAAAACACGCTTTTTATAGAACACCAAACTAAAAAATAGAAAATAAATTTTAATAAATTTGAAAAAAAATGCGTGGGGTGCTTTTTACTATTGACAACAGGCAATATTATTAATTTGCCTGTGTTCCACTTGCTTGTAATGATGGCAAAGTGTCAACCTATATATCATGAAAAATAGACACTTTTGTCCAGTGTAGGCATTTATCGTATCGATATAGTTTATTCAATTGTTCTAAATATATATTTCTTTTTATAGAGTGCCACCAGTTTCGAAAATGCGAGGACGCACACCAACCTGGCTGTATATATTCGCAGCGACTTCTGCGCTACTGGCTGTTGTCGCACTCGGTGGGGCCCTCGCATGGTCCCGGATTTTTGATTCAGTATTAGCTTCTGTAAGTATATACATATATATATATATATATATATAAACCAACTACACCAACGCCGTACCATATTAAAACATCATCACTATCATCAACAACCTTTCATAGTCCACTGCAGGTCGAATTACCTCTATTCGGCAGTCAGAGTCAGTAGCCAGACTCAAAAATGGAGAAATCAGGAGTATGTTAAAAGGAAAATGAATGAAGGAAAAAGAGTGAATGGGATTAGGGAGTGTAGGAATAAATCGAACTGGCTGTAGCTGCGAAGTCCAAGTTCTCTTTGTTCGATGTGATTGCAGAAAAAAGGTTTTAACACATAATTACACGTAGTTGTTCGAATAGTTGTTTCATGAACCCAGTGTTACCTTCGCAATTAAGACGAATAACGACTCCTTAAACGTGGAAATCCATCAAGATGTTTAGGCCACAGAAGTATACATACGAGTATATCACATCATCACATCACATCACATCAACAGCCTTTAATAGTCCACTGCTGGACATAGGCCTCTCCTTAGAAAGGAGGTTTTGGCCTACTATACCACGCTGGCCAGACGGGTGTGTATAGGGTTTGTGTCAAGTTTTCCTTCTTTGCAGTGCTGGTGTCCTGCGTTGTTTTGTACATATATACACTCGGCAAACGTAATCCTCTTTGTGTTGCAGTCGAGTAAAAAATGTTGTATGTACCTACACTTACATTAGTAACCTAATACAGTTTTTTAATGATTTTCCTGAAACTTTAGCCCGCAGACTCTTTGACCTTGCTACATTTTAATTATTCGCAGGAAATATAATATTTCGCTCATTAAAATATTTATTTTGTTAAAAGCGTTGATAGAAGCGGTAATTTCAGGAATCTTGACTTTATTGAAAGTACTTCAATCGAATTTCCAGTTCTTTTAATATCAGTTTAAGATTAAAAACACTTAAAAGAAAGTCATCCATATAAACAAATTATAAATTTTTTTTTTTTTAACAATCTTAATGATTGAATTATTTTGATATAAAATGATTGTATATTCTTAAAAGTGCAGTTTTATATAAAAGTTTAAGTTATTACGTTTGGAAGATAAGATTAAAAGTAAATAACACAAGTAAGTTTAGCAACTGAGACCTGTTGATATCCCCAGTGGGACTCCAAGCACAGGATGGACAAACGGGTGTTTTTATGGTATGGGGGTTAACAAACAGATGGGTTACCTGATGAGAGAGTACCACAGCCCATGCACCCCTTTAGAGGTATGTTAAGAGTCACAAATGCGTTGCCGCTCCTTGAGGCCCTCCCCCAGAATTAGGGGGAAGAAGGATTTGGGGCTTCAGAAATCTCACTCCTTCGGTGAAAGGAAACGAAATAATTATTTAACAATGGTTTTCTGTGAGACTCTGGAAGAAGCATGATTCTCCCACGGTAACAATGGGCTGGTGACGCAGGTCTCTTTAACCTATTTTAGTCTTAGCCCCTTTTCTATTTCCAAGATTTGAGGATCGCTTACACAAGCTCCCTCGCCCTGTTTAATTTCCTAATTCCAATTTTAGATTCTTCCTTTAAGTTTAGTATCCAAATGTGAAACCAATTGTATGCCTTACCTAGAGAAACCTACCTACAAAGAAAGTCACGAATTTATGTTTCTAAAACCTGTCATAAGGTCAGATCATAATAACATTATCAGTTAAGTTAATAATTTATTCACGTGTCCTTTAGTAATACGTAAAAACATGTACCACTAAGTTAGTATTGCGCATTTTTGGGGTTTCGGTTGTAATCTCCTAATATTACAATTGAATGAAATATACATTTACGTGAATGGACATTATATTAAAATTAAAACTACTGCTCTACCGTCGGAGAGCTATACTTCGGTATAAAGGAGCCGGCTCTATCGGAATAACACCAAGGTTTGAGTTTTAAACCATTCTGCCCTTGCATTTCACCGAGTGAGTGAGCCACAAACGCCCTTCGCCTTAATTCTGGGGAGGAGTACTTTTTACAAATAAAAGAGAACTAAATGATATTCAGTAACCCTTCGCACGTATCAGTGCGTAATTCATATCTAATACAAGATATCAAATCTGTATTGGTATACTTAAAAACGGGAAGCAATAAAATTTAAGAGCAACCAGTCAAATAGGAATTTCATATTAAATTATTGCCATTGAAAAAATTATGAACGTCCATCATTATGTGCCGTTAATTGGCTTAAAACATCACGTGAGGCTCATTGGAATCCTCACAAGTTACTTAATCACTGCCCTCTTGCTCATTCTAATTTATGTTGAGTTTCTTGAGGCTTCGCCACAAAAAAAAAAAAATTGGTTGCCTGTAAAGTCGGTATACGGGCGAAAGTTTTACGTGACAACGACTTTGAGTGGTAAAATAATTTTAATGTGAATATTCATTCGTATAGTAGGAAGAAGGATGAAATAATAGTAACAATTTAAAACATTTATTTATACAAAGAATTATATTTAAAAAAGGGACGCGTGCCTTTCACTTTTTATGTCTGTCTCTCTCGCTCTTAGGCGGGCTAACCATGCCCGAGTGGAAGGGACGCGTGCCTCTCACTCGCTCTCATTGTGAGCGCATAACGTGAGCGGAGCGTAACGCAGTTTCTTGAAGTGTCACCCGGCAAACCAATTTATAAGACGTTGTCACGTCAAAAGTTTATTATTGCTGTTAAATCACTGTAATAATACCTTCCCAAACCTCGCACATGGCCGCCTGATTACAAACTACGCAGAGCTAGTACTATGGTAACCAGACTGCTGATAGACATACTTAGATGTATATCTAAATACATACATATTATAGATAAATTACACCCAGCCACAGAAAAAATGATCCACGATCTCTGGTGTAGCAGTCAGGGTCACTAAACACTACACCAATAGGCCCATCACTCTTGTCTGTCTAAATAAAATTATCCACGTATCGTTTCACTTGAACGAGTCCAATTTGACTTATGAAAAGTTTTTTCAGAAATTGAATTAGACAGGCCCAAGTGAAATTTTCCAAAGGAGTGACATAACGACATATAACGGGGACACAGAGGGGAGATAGAGTGGTATTAAATTAAGAAGAAGCTTTAATAGTGTGTGTGCACAATCTGATATTGATATTCCTGATGCTAGTTTGTCAGGAGCGAAGAGGTGTATAACCCTTAAATTCTTCATGGGTCCGAGTAATTATTGATGATGATGAGTTCTGTCTGTGTTTTAGGTAGATAATGGGTGTTATGTGTGAGTGTATTTGTACCTGTAATATATAGGGATAGTGCCTGTTGATACTACCCTGTATTGTCTTGTGCACTTTAACTTGATTCTGTTATATAAAAGTGAGGATTTGTCATTGGCTATCTGTTTTCTTGACTGCTTAAATTCGGATTATCATATTAGTAAAGCCTCCATAGTAAATCTTTATTTATACATATAAAACTTCTGTGTGTGTGTTTGTGACTGAATCGAGAATGGTTTAGATTCACAATTCCGCCCACTACAAAATGTTTTTTCGTGTGTGCAGGACAATGCCTGTCGAGTTCGCTAGTAATAAATAAATATCCAGAATTTTTGAACTATAAACTTAACTCGATTCACGCAATACGAGCAAGCTTATTGCTACCAATCTATTACTTGTATGGTATACAGCATTTCCGCCATTATCATTGAACTTCGTACGGAGATATGGTGTGTAACTATTATTTTATTCATTGATAACCAGCTTAACGCAACTTTTAAATGTTTGGTAGTAAAATTAAGAGGCCAGTAAAGTCGACTTTCAGTGAAGAGAATTAAAAGTACTCGTTTTCCTATTTTGTACCAATCGCACTTACGCTACGAAGCACAAAAAATATTGTGTGCAGTAATTATTTGTTCGTAGAGGTTACAATTTCAAATACTATACATCAATATTCAAACACTTTGCACAAATTATCTCTGAAACAATTGTAGTTAAAAGAACGCGAGTTAGGCAGAAACTTTTTTCTAAATATTTCTATGTAAAAACACAAAAAGGAGGACAGGAGGCACAGAAACAAAATGTGTTCTTTTAACACGCCTCTGCGTACCCCTTCGGGGATATAAACATGATTGTATATATGTAAATTATGTCAAGGGTTTACGAGACCAATTGCTTTGCATTTAACTTTGACCCCTCAATGTTCTCAATTGACAGATATTGAATGACATAAACCGCACATCGACTGTCTTATGAACGACAATCAATTATGGATAAGCTATTAATTCTCGTTGACCCGATGTCAAATGTATTTAGTGCGGGGAAATTGTTCATTATGGCAATTTTTTTTTAAGTCAATCGAGAATACATGTGCGTAAGCTTCTAAATAAGGAGTGACAGAAGAAATAATTAAATTATTAGTTACCAATGATAAATACAAACCTCGTTTCTAAGGAGAATTTATGTACAGCAGTGGACTATTAAAGGTCGTAGATGATGATAAATACATGATATCACGACTATATCTACAAAGGGGTAAGCAGAACCGTATTAAAAACGCGCACTTCGCTGACTAAAGCCTGTGGCGACTCCTACATACAAATAAACAAAAACATAGTACAGGGCCATCTAACGAAGACACACCGAACTACGGAGTAACTACTAAAATGAGAATTGCTAATCCTGTATCGCGTTATGAAGAATTCTCTGGCCGATTAACATATATACAACTGCTCAACGTCAACCGTTGGGCGGCGGCAAGCCAAGCATGATCACCTCGCCTGGTCGGAGGATCCTCTCTTTGTGTTGGAGGGACATGACACCCGTTCCTTCACAAGCCTACTTACTCAATCCTGATAAACTTCCTTTATTTAATTATAACATGGCACATTAATATTCAATGTAATGGAAAAATAAGGAATAGACAATGCAGGCTTATATAAATTTTTCTTTCATTGTTTTTTTTTATGATTTAATAGACCACCATGATAATGATGATGACGAGCAGGCTGGTTACCAGGATGACTCATGAACCTGCAACTCAGGAGATATATATGCAATATACTGCCCCCTTTTTTTTTTCGTGCGGAAATCCCCTCGGATAGCACCTATCGGTGGCATGTCGGACTCGAACCGACTAAAACCGCACGCCGTCTCGGGTACTAATAGCCGGGGAACCAGGTATACCCTAGAAAGGAAGTCCCTGGTGCCCCGACATACCTCGGGCCATCTACAACAAGTAGACGACCCCTCCCCGAATATACTCTCCCTAGACGTAGGGGATGGGTGTTGGCGATCCTGTAACCTCATTCACTCGTTGAAAAGCAATAAAAGAATTGTTTAACACCGGTTGTCTGTGAAACCGTGGTATCACACCGGTAGAACCACAGAAATCGTAATAATAAGACTAGAAATTAATTAGAGCCCGATCACTTCCAAAGTCGATGTCGTCACATATTAACACATACACAAAATACAAACAAATAGATATAAGACTCGCACACACTTGCAAAACAGCGGTGAAATGTATAGGACACAAACTATTATGAACCTTAATCTTAAGAAATTACAATGCATTTTACTTCAATGTATAATGTGGCACCACTACAATTTCGATGGCGTGAATCCCTGTAAACAATGTTGTGGCGTGTCGTGTGTCCATGTCGATATTGGTAAAAATTGTCGATATTTTTTTAAATACATTAAAATGAAATGGATTACTAGTAGCTACTTAGGAAAACCAAAGATATGTATAATTTTTTTTTATATTTCAATAGTAATGATACTTATAAATGAATGGTACCTATTATTTAAAATCAAGCTATTCATTAACAGTACAATACTTTATTAATTCAGGTTACAGCGTACACTTATAAAATAATAAAAATTAAAAAAAAAGATATGAATAATAATTTATACAAAAAAAAAAAGTCACAGAAACAAAAAATTAAAACAATAAGCTGCTACTGAACAAATAGTTCCTTCACATAACAATTAGAATTTTAATCTAGAAATAACTGATTAAGAAGTAATTAATAAACAGAGTGGTTAATTTTTTTTTTAAATTTACATAGTCGTCAACTGTGTAATACCCTTATTCCTAACACTATGTTTAAAAAAAATATAATTAATGAAGCATCTATTTCTGGTAGTTGAGAAAATTTATTAAAAAAAAAACTGTATTATTAGGATCTTTCGGGAATCTAGAAATTAATTATAATTATGTGATAAAAAATAATAATATAATTATATATGCTTCCTAAAATGATAACATTTTATTTACATTTACCAGCATGCTAAACATTTATAGACTTTAACGCAAACTTAATTAATTAAACGCCTAAAGAAATTATTGTATAATTATTATTTTTACCTGCATATATAGTTTAGTTTAATTACGTTTGAAAATCTGAAAATATCCCTTTATTCTAACATCGATATAAACAGTACTTTTATTCAAATGAATGGTACGGTTACATCACTAACTGGCGAGCGATGCCTGCAGCCGTATTATAAACATACACAATGCACAACGATATCTAGTATTTTACATTACATTGCTTGGCAAGTTTGTCAACATCGCGTGAAATAAGAACAAAAGCAGCAATGGTCATTGTACAAAACGGAAAGTCATAAATGAATGTTACAAAGGCAGATATCTAATTAAAGTATTCATCGAGACTTAAATTAGTAAAAACAATGGTTTATTAGTTGAAAATTAACTTACCGATGAAATGTTATACCTTTATTAGTTGAATTAATTATATGTCCCTGTTTTCACAACTCATTATGTTCAAGTTCACCATTTTAACACTGTACATACGACGTAAGTTCAAGTGGTGTTTGTCTACACATCACTGCGGCGACAGTGTCAAGCGTCTATGCGAGGTCGAGGTCTAGTGTCTTATTATTACGATTTCTATAGGTAAAGACCAACTATTTAGCTCCATTAATATGCGTATTAACCGACTTCAAAAAGGAGAAGGTTATAAAGCCGGATGTTTTTGTTCGGGTATAACTGTTGAGTTTCGGAGACAGACAACGGAACTCCTCAAAAAATGACAGCAAATCAACCGCGATCGCTGCTAGGTTTTTAGTACTTTGTTATTATTGTTTAAAGTGGGTTCAACTTTTTTTTAAATCATTTATTAATGCTAATTAGTTCCAGTATATAAAAACGAGTTTAAGTACGTGTATATGAATGGTTTTTAATAATTAAATATTAATAAATTGTGTTGAATATTTAACATAAGCCTCTGGGAGATGTGACCACCTCGCTGGTTCCGCATGCTTCTGCGATCTTATAAAATGTTATCCAATTAAAAATAATTTAAGCAGGTACAATTTATTTTTTATTTTTTATTTACATATGGAAATAGAAAAACACTAAAATATAAATATAATCTGAATAAACATGAATAAAACAGTTTAAAATAAGTATACTACTAACTTTCCAGTATTTGTGCTATCTTGTCTTATCAGTATTTGTGTGACAAAATACGTGAGTCGCCATTTTCTAGCGCCATCTTGAATTTACAGTGAAATTAATAACACACAATAAAGAACTGTCATTTGAACTAAAAGTGTGTACCTACCAAATTTAAAGCCGTCAAGACCCCCATAAGATACAAACAAAACAAGTGAAATTCATTTTTTACAAAGATTTCTTTTAAGAACGTTCCATATATAAAAAAATTATTACCTACGTATAATACATAATGTTTATACTAATACATTTTATTGATTAGTAATTTGAATACCTGTTCTAGACAAAGAAAAGTTCTTAATGAGGTTTATGGCCATGCTTTTCATGCGCGCGTGTGTGTGTGTGTGTGTATATGTGTATGTACATATGTGTGATTCTGCCTAGTCCAACTCCCGACACATCTGCAGATAAGTGTACCTAAGTGTGTTGCGTCAAAATTATTATGTTTATACACAACAATTTGTTTTTGTATTGTAATATTGGCCTAGCATTGCCCTCAAGTCCTTTACCTCCAATTGTATCTCATTTAATTTTACATTAGCAATTTTTGTAAATGGTTTTTAAATCACATTATCAACAGACTTCAATAGTCCACTGCTGGACGTATTCCTCTCCTTAGAAAGGAGGTTTTGGCCTACTATACCACGCTGGCCAGACGGGTTGGTATAGGATTTGTGTCAGGTTTACCTTTTCTTTGCAGTGCTGTTGTTCTGCGTAGTTTGCTCCCTTAGTCGGCTCTTACGACACCCACGGGTGAATAGGGGTGGTGACACTCCGTGTCCTTAATCCGTCACCACACGTACAATTTTTTTTAATGCTATCGATTAAAAATCGTAAACGTGCAAGTTATTTATTAAAGTATACTCTAAATAGTTCAATACAAAAATAATTATTAAAAAATGACTGATAGTTCCTGAGATTGATTTAAACAAATACTCAAACAGGTTAACTCTTCAGTTTCAATAATATCTGTATAAGTCAAAATGCTAAAATGTATGTGTATGTTGGTAACCTATGTCCTTCCTCAATAATTCACAACTATCTCTAAACCAATATTTATCTAAATCGGTTATGCGGTTTAAGCGTGAATAGGTAACAGACACTTTCACATTTATGATATTAGTATGGATTTAACGTATTTGACTGGCCTATTGGTCTAAGACAGAGGTCGTGGGTTCGATTCCCACCCAGGGCAAAAATTATATGATGATATTTTATTCTGTATATGGATGTAATTCATCTATATTATGTATATATTTAGAAATATTTATCAGCAGGAATGATTGCCATAACACAGGCACTGAATAATTTGGGGTCAGCGGCCATGTTTGAAATTTTTCGAGCTATTATTATTTCCTAACATTTTTTTATAAAAAGCATGTTAGGTACAGTAGCCGCCGATTTTATAAAAGTACCTTATTAAACGAAGAGTTCTTTGAAAGTATCTTAAGATATATTTTTGTTACAGCAATTGAAGCTCACACCAAATTCGAGATCCTTCCAAAACTGGGTGGCTCCTTCAGTGCCTCTGTACTTTGATATATACCTGTTTAACTGGACCAACGCAGATATGTTCCCCGAGAAGCCTGTCTTAAATCAAATAGGTAAGCAAACCAAATGTAAGATACACTTCCCGTAATCAGCCATCTTCAAAATTGTAGAGATATCCTTGCCATAGTTTTTCCTTAAAAACAATGGATTATTTGAAATTAAAAAAATGGATGGATACCATGGATACCCACTATGTATACACACTATGGATACACACTATGGATACACACTATGTATAAACACTATGGATATACACTATGGATATACACTATGGATATACACTATGGATACACACTATGGATACACACTATGGATACACACTATGGGTATACACTACGGATATACACTATGGATACAACGTTGACTGTAATTGTGATTGAAAGTTTAATCGGTATTCTACTAATCTTAATAATATTTTACTAGTTATTTACAAGAATTCCTTTTATGACATTTGTGAGGTCGAGAGTAGATCGGACCTGAATTTCCAAAGAATTTTTATTACGAGAATTGATCTTCCGAGTGCCATGTCGCTCTAGAATTGGCGTAGCAATGCCGTTTCCCTCATGGACCAACTATGTCATCATCATCATCAACAGCCTTTAACAGTCCACTGCTGGACATAAGCCTTTCCTTAGAAAGGAGGTTTTGGCGTACTATACCACGCTGGCCAGACGGGTTGGTATAGGGTTTGTGTCAAGATTACCTTCTCTCTGCAGTGCTGTTGTTCTGCGTAGTTTTTTCCCTTAGTCGGCTCGTACGACACCCACGGGATGAATAGGAGTGGTGACACTCTGTATTCTTAATCCGTCACCACACGGACCAACTATGTATGTATGCACAACTTATCATGAGGAATATTCTTTTCTGACTAAGCTTTAACATTACTTCAAGTATTAAAACAAGTGAAACTCCAGAAATCCAGTCAATGTCAACAAAAATTCTTAATGGCTTGCGTCAACACGTTGACACCTTTCTTACGTCATAGTAGTGCCTATTCACGAGCTAGCCAACAGTAAGCTCGTGTATTTTACTTGTTTTTATCTTCCCTTCCTATCTTATCTTATATTAGTTACTAGGTAGTGTGAATGTTGTAGATAAGTAGACATTCCTTACTAACCGATGATGATACACAATCATTTTTACTGGCGAACAGAGGTGAGGGCTGCATGGAAGAGTTGAAGTTTCTCTATCATGTCTTATTTAAACGGTATGGGAGAGGGGGCTATCGAGCAGACGGTTCACCCTTAAACACCTGGCACTCAAGAGTTATAAGTGCAGATTTAGGAGAGGGGATCTAGTTCTGGCCCCGATCAACTCTATAAATGTCGAAGTATGGCTCTCCCACGTTTATCTCCTCTAAACTAATCATTTGAAATATAATATTTATGTAGCAATTTGTTTAATAGTTATTTGTTTGTTCAGATATCCATACTTCCATACTTATATCATAAATGTGCAAGTAAGTTTGTTTGTTTGTTACGCTTTCACACCTAAAACACTAAACCGATTTTAAAATTACTTTCACCAATGGAAAGCTACATTTTCAGCGGCTAACAATAAATATAATATATATAGTGTGTATCAATAACGGTAACATAGGCTACTTTCTACCGCGATAACCGCCATACATGCGGGCGGAGACGAGGGGAAAAAGCTAGTAAAAACATAAATCCATTTCTGTTAGTTTACCTTGATATGCTAGAATTTAACTTATTGTAACGGTGACGGATTAAGAATACGGAATGTCACCACCCTTATGTATACCGTGGGTGTCGTAAGAGCCGACTAAGGGACCAACGCAGGACAACGGCACTGCAAAGAGAAGGAAAACTTGACACAAACCCTATACCAACCCGTCTGGCCAGCGTCTTATAGTAGTCAAGCTTATGACCAGCTTATCCAGCAGTGGACTATTATAGGCTGTTGATGTGATGTGATGTGTGATGAACTGCAACTGCTAATACGCCTAATTCTTATAGAACAGAATTTGCATTTCTTGTTGATCAAAATAAATGTATTAAAAATTGTCTATGGCTCCAATTATTAATAAAAATAGAATGACAGTTAATTGTTATGTTGTTTAGCTATACCAAATATTTGTCATCATCAAACGGAAATATGGGGCCCGCAAGGTATAGACATGGCCTTCTTGTTTTTATGGGTTTAGAAAAAAATAGAACATCATCTATGGCTTGTCTGTTTGTGAATACTGTTTTGGGTATCATTTACATATTGTTTACCGAGATGTTTTAATAATGTCGTTAACTGCTTCAATAAAGCAAATGAACCTATATGAGTGTTTTTATTTATTTATAATAGCAACTTTTATTTATTTATTATATTTTTTTTTATATCTTTATTGTATACAGTTAACACATAAGATACTTACAAATATATAGACGTAACAATCGGCGGTCTTATCGCTCACGGCGATCTCTTACAGACAACCTTAATACGGATATTAGATACTTAAAAAGTTGGGTAGTTTACATACACGTAACGCATTATCACGTGTAAATTTAAAAATAACAACAAAAGCATTCATACACAAATATACATCTGTTCAAATTACACATACATACAAACATACATACATAAACATAATATATATAAATACTGTTCTTCTAAACAAGACAATAAACTAGTCATAAAAGTGTTTATGAACGAATGTAAAGATTCCTTCCATGTTATAGTAAATGATTGATTGTTGATTGTATCATGCAAAAACGTTTTAATTAATATTTTTAAAATTCCCTGTTGGGGGACCAATATTTCGGCACATAAGGGTCGTGTCGACCAGAGTGAGCTCGCCTCGACAAGTTTGTATCGTTCTAAAATACCAGAGACCTTTATTTTTTAAATTTTTTTATATTTTAAAATTATTAGGAATTTGGAACATATCCTATGTTGCGGGGGACCTACAAACATCCATGAAACACAGACACAAAGAACACCCAGACTCAGAACAAAAATTTATAGATCACACAAAGTGTCGTCCCATGTGGGGTTGAACCCACAATACTCGGCATAGTAGGAAGCGGCGTGGCGGCCGCTTAAACCACTGCAGACACAACTACTCCGTGCAGTATCTCGATAACTTGTTATGATTAATATCATAATAATAATACCATCACAGATCTCACACACGGGCGTCTGACACCAAACGAGGTGGATCCATACTAATGGTAACCAGACTGCTGAAAAACATACTTTTATATATGCATTTCTAAATCTTGACTGCACGGATGGCGTAGTGGTTTAAGCGGTCGCCACGCCGCTTCCTACTACGCCGAGTGTTGTGGGTTCAAACCCCACATGGGACGACTTGTGTGATCCACAAATTGTTGTTCTGAGTCTGGGTGTTCTTTGTGTCCGTTTCATGTATGTTTGTAAAGTCCCCCGCGACACAGGATATATATATATATTCCTAAAGCGGGAGTTGTCTTTTAAAAAAGAAAAAAAAAAAACATATTGACGACAAATTACATCCAGACACAGATTAAATGATCGTGTTCATCACATAATTATTTATCCTGGGTGGGAATCGAACCCACGACCTTTGGCTTAGCAGTTACTGTCCACTAGATCAACAAGCCCGTTAATAATAATCATGGAACGTTCAATAGTATAGTGAATAGGTTTCGCTATACCATCTCTATGTCAGGTTCCTTATTAATGTCGTTTTATGTACTCCATACAAAGTGTACGCAAATTTTGTACGAAATTTAAGTGAAGGCGTGAAAACGTATCAAATAAACTCACATTCACATCAACAGCCTTTACTAGTCCACTGCTAGACATAGACCTCTCCTTAGAAAGGAGGTTTTGGCCAACTATACCACGCTGGCCGTCGGGTTGGTATAGGGTTTGTTTTAAGTGTTTATTATCTCTGCAGTGCTGTTGTCCTGCGTAGTTTGCTTCCTTAGTCGGTCTTACGACACTCACGGGATGAATAGGGGTGGTGACACTCTGTATTCTTAATCCGTCACCACACAGACCACACATTAGTATCGAATAATAATAAGGTAGGATTATAGATTCTTTCTTTTCCAGGTCCCTTCAGTTTCCGCGAGGAGCGTGTCCACGTCAATGTAACCTTCAATGAGAACGGCACCATGTCGTACAGGACACACAGGAGATGGTACTTCGACGAAGAGAGATCTAATGGCAATTTAGAGGATGAGATAACGAGCATTAATGGTGTCGCTGCAGTGAGTATGCTTTTGTTCTCCTTCTTTTTCATCTTTTTTAGGTTGGAGGGAGGGCAAGGGTCTATCTTTCTTTCTTTTATATTATAGGGGGAAAACGAGCAGACAGGTTACCTGATGGTATTTGACTACCACCGCCCATAGACACTTGCAAGACAAGAGTTACAAGGCCGTTTAAGTGTTCTCCCTCCCTCTACAGGGGTGGGGTTGGGCTCCGGCTACCACACTCACATACTCGCTCATAAACAAAGAAAAATTCTAATCTAATCATTGATTCATGACTATTTTTTCCCGATACAATATCTTAAATCTCAATATTCTCATCTCTTTTATTGCAATGTGTTTGAATCGTCAAATTTATTTACTATATTTCCAGTCTGCAGCCTACCGCGCCAGATCCTGGGGCTACCTACAACAAAAAGGGCTCTCCATAGGCCTGAAGATGTTCAAACAGCAGTTCTCAGTCACCAAGACAGCAAGTGAACTTCTATTTGAGGGGTACAATGATTCCCTACTGGATCTCGCAAAAAGTTTACCTGCCAGTACAACGGGTGGCGCACCACCGGTGGATAAGTTTGGATGGTTTTATGGGGTGAGTAATAATACAATCTAAAGATGGAATGACCCATTATAATATAACTAATTAAAAGTAGCATGTAAATGCACATTAGTTTGCGTCTGCCAGACCCATTTCCAGTTTTTTTATAATACAATTTAAATCGGTATTGGATTTAGTAGAATTTTTGAGCCTTTTTAGAGAGCAGAAGCTCTTGTCTTTACGGTTTCTTGTGAGTTACTGCAGTTTTAGTCCCGAGTCTTGCGTCATCTCTTAGCCTAGTTTCGAAGCCCTATTTGTTTTCCGATTTCATCTTTTTTATTTGTCCCGTCTGAGAGCCTGTTCACGTAGGCGGCCATTTAGCAAACAAGCCACAACAATTCCAAATAAATTTCTGGTTCTGCTAAAATCAGCAATAAATTTAGGACATGGGCAACAAGACGATGATGATGACTATAACCCGGCAATCTCGTGCGCGACCGTCCCGCGGGGTGACAGACAGTGGCGGGGGCGAGGAAGCGCGTCATTTTAGCACACGGCTACACGCGTTTCCCTTCCCCGCTACACCACCCGCTGCCCGCTGACATCTTGAATACCTCGTCCCCGCCACCGTCTGTCACCCCGCAGGACGGTCGCTCACGACGTTGATGGACTATAGCTGTTACTTTCATACTGAAAAGTGAAATTAGGGGCATTCAACTGGGATGAAGATGCCGGCAGATATTTATTTTTGAAAGTCTTTGGGATAACAAATATTCAGCTGTATTAATACATTACTGAGATTTTTAAGAATTTATAAACATAGATGTATTTTCATGGACTCCTAAGACTACTAGACTCCTATAATTTATGCAATTATTTTGGATAATTGTACATATTATGTCATTTACTTTCATACTGAAAAGTGAAATTAGGGGCATTCAACTGGGATGAAGATGCCGGCAGATATTTATTTTTGAAAGTCTTTGGGATAACAAATATTCAGCTGTATTAATACATTACTGAGATTTTTAAGAATTTATAAACATAGATGTATTTTCATGGACTCCTAAGACTACTAGACTCCTATAATTTATGCAATTATTTTGGATAATTGTACATATTATGTCATTTACTGCCATTATGTCATGCTCTGCCTTGCCCAGAAGATTTAGGTTATGTTTAAATGCAAGACATGTGTTATATACTATCAATTCATGTTTCTTCCAGAGGAATGACACTCTAGATACTGATGGCTACATGGAGATTACCACTGGGCAACATCGTGGTACAGTTCCTGGACAAATTGTGAGGTGGAATTTCGAAGATCATCTTCCTTACTACAGTGGTGAATGCTCAAAGGTACTTTAAGGTTACTATCCTAAGAGTGGCCCAAGAGATTTATTGACCACTAGTAATTAACATACCTGGTCCGCGGGTCAATGTTCTGCTATCATTCATGCAAAGTAAAATATATTTAGCCAACTACGTAGAAATGAGATATTGTATGGCGTAATCGAATTTGCCACGTTTTTTACAATAAACATAACTAAACCGGTGGGCCATGATCGATCAGGTTCAGCCAGGATCGTCATGTATTAGTTTAGATCATTGATTACTGATTGATTTCCTCTCCTGTCATTGTTTTAATTATTTTTTTCTAGCTTTTGGGAAGTGCAGGGGAATTCGTGCCACGAAACTTGACGGAGGAGTCTGTGTTCACGATGTTCGTACCAGATCTGTGTCGGACTGTGAACATGGATTATGTGGAGAGTGGCGAGGTGGAAGGTCTAAACTACCACAAATACGCGTTATCTCAAAGGAGCTTCGATAATTGTGAGTGTAATTCAGTAACTTTAAAATGTCCGTATGGTGACAAATTAAGAATACCCCATGAGTAATATCCCATGAGTGTCATAAGAGTCGACTAAGGGAGCAAACTACGCAGGACAACAATACTGCAAAGAGAAGGAAAACTTGATAGAAACCCTATACCAACCTGTCTGGCCAGCATGGTAGTAGGCCAAAACTTTCTTTCTACGGATAGGCATATGTCCAGCAGTGGACTATTAAGGGCTGTTGATGATGATATAAAACTAACTACGAGGGTTTCCAAAAAGGAAAAATATCAAGACAGTAAGTTTGGGTGTTTTTTTTCATATACTTGAAGATCTCGGCAAGTTACATTTAGAAAATAGAAAATGTTTACTAGAAAACTAAACATTCTTTAAATGAAAATAATTTAACGTACCCCACGTTAAATTATTTTCATGTGAAATTACGAAATCAAAAACATCAAAATAATAAAAATGGGACTTGCAAATGCAGTTAATTATCGTGATATCTAAATTATCGAGATATCTAATTTATCGAGATTTTCGGGTATCCAGATTTGACTCGAATTTATTACTTTCGAACGTATATCACACACACACACACACACACACAAACACACACACACACACACACACACACACACACACAAACACACACACACACACACATGCGATACAAACCAACATCAGTATTCTGCTATCGCTTACAGCTACGGTGTCTTCTGCAAATACATGCTTCTGCAACGGTCCTTGCGCATGGAGTGGTGTCATGAACGTGTCAGCCTGTCGGTATGACTCACCTGCCTTCATATCACTGCCCCACTTCTTGTATGGAGACGAGCTGAGGAGCTTGGTCGATGGGATGTATCCTGACCCTGAACTACACGATTTCTACTTTGCTGTTGAACCTGTGAGTTTTGTTTTTAAATTGACCTGAATTCGTTCAACAGCTTCTGTTTATCCACACGTACGTAGAAGAAGCAGGTAGAAGAGGCAGAATAGGCCATGGCAGGGGGCAAATGAACAGACAGGTCACCTGAAGGTAAAAGACTACCTCCTACCATGGCCACCTGCAATACTAGTCACAACTGCGTTGCAGCCTTTTGAGTTTCCTGCCCACAGGATTGGGGGATAAGGGGGGGGAGGTTTGAGCTCCGTAAACTTGACTCACTCAATGAAAAGCAACGTAAAATTTGCTTTACATCGGTTTTCCGTGAGGCCGTAGCACTTCGGTTGAGGCGACACAGTTGCACCGAAGCATAGTTCTCCTACAGCAAGTGATTTACTGTTGGGAATTTTAGAGGGATCATGAAGACCCAAAAAAGTCGTTTACAATACTTACATAGTCATTGCTAAGTTCCTAAGCAGGAAAAAAGAATCTGTAGAGTCAGCAACATAAAGTTGTCAATAATACCTATATATTATGACGTTATTTATTATTTTCAGAAACTGGGTATACCGGTGGAGGTGGCAGCAAGATTTCAGCTAAATATGTTTATAGATTCTGTTGAAAATGTTGAGTAAGTATTTATCAATCATTATTAGGACATTACAAAAATTGTATTTCTATATTATTTTTCTAACGACTCCTGATTCCAGGGAGCCTACACCTTCGACCCCTGATTCTGGGGAGCCCACACCTTCACCCCCTGATTCTGTTGGAGCCCACACCTTCGATCCCTGATTCTGGGGAGCCCACACAAAAATTGTATTTCTATTCAATAGGCGGCCATAGCACTATTTTCCTCCCAGGCTTTTTTCCTAAAGTACGTTTGTCTTGTTCGTTAGGTCTACTACAGTATGATTGAACTTCTGCCTTTTACGCAGAGCAACTGCCACCGCACCTCCAAAATGCAATTACTAGGCGATATTGAAGTTTTGTAAAAATACTGTTGGTGACTTTTTAGGACTAACTACCCGTTACGATTGTCACAGATGTTCGTATGGAAACTGCAAAGAGAAGGAAAAGTTGACACAAACCCTATACCAACCCGTCTGGCCAGCGTTATGTAGTAGGCCAAAACCTCCTTTCTAAGGAGAGGCTTGTGTCCAGCAGTGGACTATTAAAGACTGTTGTTGATGAATGCAATTAGATATTTCCTGACGTTAAAATAAATCTAGAAAGCAGTCTTCTTTTTCGTCACATCAATCTAAATGTCGCAACAGCCACGGCATTGTCCTTTGTTCTCCACAGCTCCTGCAGCTGAAGGGGCACAATAAACAAGATTGCAAATGAGGTATGGTTTTGCATTGGTGTGCCATATTCAACTGGTCGATGTAGCCCCAATTTGTTATGTTGCTTTTGCAACGACCAACCTGCGTACGTAAGCGTTTAAATGATCTCCATGTTGGGCATTGCAGTCGGTGTCCAGGTTGAAGGTAACCTAACCTAAATAAAACCTGCCGGGACAGGATGTTTAGCTACCCACATTTGTGGAGGATTAGCTACCCTCATTTGCTCTTTTGCCCGTTGCGGAGGAATACTACTCGTAATGTGTAAATTGCGTTTTCTTAGATCAAATATAGATGTTACACTAATTATACGTTGATATTATTAATATATAAAATCACAATTATTTGGCATAAACGTATCACGTTTTACTAAGCAATCTACAACATCGGAGTGAACATTTCTAGAAGATAAATGGTTTTTTTATAATCAAAATGATATATGTAGCTTTTAAAAATATGTACCACGCAGCATGAGGAATAAAAACGACGATTAGCTAGCAGTGACCTAGACCACTTTTTGCTTACTTTGAAACTGGTCTTCAAAATATCTTTAACAGTGAGTAGGAATATTTAGTTTAACATAATGCTATTAACTGTACAGTCGACAAAAAAGTAGGTTCATTTAGCAAAAGCGAATAATTTGCTAATAAGCTTAGAATTATTTAACATTCATTTGATTTTGAGTTGTGTATTATATTTATGTACCGTCATTATCAACAGACTTAAAAGCAAAAAGTCTTATATTTATGGTGATTCCTGGAATCGGCATGAATTATAAGTAGTATTATAGGCACTGTCCGTGTGGTGACGGATTAGGAATACGGATTTTCACCACCCCCATTCATCCATAAAAGCCGACTAAGGGAGCAAACTAAGCAAGACAACAAAACTGCAAAGAGAAGGAAAACTTGACACAAAGCATATAACAAACCGCCTGGCCAGCGTGGCATAATAGGCCAAAACCTACTTTCTAAGGAGGTTCCTGTGTCCAGCAGTGGACTATTAAAGGCTGTTTATGATGATGATTATAGGAGCTTACTACATAATGCACTGGCAATACTGATATCGTCTGTCACCACAAGCAAATTACTATCAGGCAGGTGATATGTTACTAATGCAGTCAATCGAGTATTTTAAATCATTAGATGGCAAGATAAAAATAAGCCGAGTCAAAATTTGGCTTTGGCCAAGAAATTAAAGAGTATTAGAAAATATTACGTGTATCTCGAAACACCTTATTTTTTTGCTGTGCGGAAATCCCCTCGTATACCACTTACCGGTGGCAATGTTGGACTCGTATGTAAACGTGGCTTTATATTATTTCTTTTAAAATGAGTTTGCTCAAAGCTTTAATATTTTAGTAATAGACGGTTAGAATGTTCAAACGTCCCAGTAACAGCCAGTTCGAGCTGCTTGCAAGTTACGCGCTTGTAACTTCTATGTTGCAGGCGTTAATCAGCAGTAATATTCACTTACCATCTGTCTGCTCTTTTGCTCCCTGTATTATAAAAAATAGTTTCCCTTTCCTATTATTGTCATTTTTTATCTAAATAATATTTATTTTCAATTTTCTCATCTAATAAAAGTGCCTGTACAGCTTTCCTCCTTACATAAATCGTAAATTAAATTTGTTAGTTTGCAAAATATATCCCCCTACCCCTATGGGGATATAGAATTGAATGAATACATGTATGTTAAAAAAATATTAATAAAAAAAAAATAAAAAAAAAAAAATTAATATTAATGCAAAATTATCAACCGCCGGCCGGAGAGACCGCGTCTCAGCAAATGTAGTGTAGGACGCCCACAGGCCCGGTGGGGTGACGATTTGCGCAAGATGGCTGGCAGGAGCTGGATGTGAAGAAGCACAAAATTGATCTAAGTGGCGTGTAATGGGAGAGGCCTATGTCCAGCAGTGGACATAGTATATAGAAATTAATAATTCAATTAAATTTTTTTTTTTTTTGTCCACAGTCTATATAGCAATGTTCCGAGAATGCTGTTTCCAATATTTTGGGTAGAACAAAAAGTACAAATGGAATACCGAGTGTTGGAGGAGCTGAAATACGTTCGCGCAATACTCGACTGGGGCGCAGTTGTATGCGCTTGCGCAGCTCTATTCTTTGCGATTCTTGTCGCCATAGCCACGTGTTGGGCGCGGAAGCCACAGTATTTAAAAACAGAACTGCTCACATCTTTCGAGAAGCCGAAGGATGAAGCCGAATTAAAATTGAATCCTAAATGAAGATGACATTAAAATGGGTATTGCCAGTGAAAAAATAGCCAAAGGAAGAAGTTTCAACGAAGGTTGAATCGGAAAAAAAGTGCCATGACAGTTAGTTGACAGTTGATACCTATTGTGTTGTATACGTATAATACATTTAGATAGTGATATTTTATATGGTTTTAGTCTCATAGATTTTATAATAATAAATTATTTTTTTAAGATTCAAAATAGTTTATAAGCGTTTGTTTTGACTGCAACTCAGATACCATAGTAATGCTATCAACAAAGCTATAAATACCCAGCGACAATTAAGAAGTAAGGAATGAAGATTAAATTGAATTTAACTTAGATTATTGGATTGATACTGTTGGACACTAAGTTTGTTTACCTAATTCACTAAATTATAAAGGCTCAATTGACACCAGAATATTCTAGTTGGTTGGTTTTTATTGGTTTAGTAGTGAAACACTAAATCTAGACGGGACTGTTGGTCTAGTGGTTAGAGTCCCTGTCTGCTAAACCGGAGGTCATGGGTTCGATTCTAAGCCAGGACAAATATTGTGAGCACGGTCATTTGTTCTGTATCTGTGTGTATTTTATCTGTAATATGTATCTATTTAAAAATATATAAGTATCAGCAGTCTGGTTACCATAGTACAGGCTCTGCCTAGTTTGGGATCAGACGGCCGTGTGTGAGATGTGTAAAAAGAAAAAAAATAAAATCTAGACATATAAATGGTTTAGAAACTAATAAGTATTGTTATTTTTGACATGGTTTCGTTCTTAAACCTATCCTACTTTTTAGCAGTTCATAAAATTTAACAGTGTATTTTAAATCAAAGATATATTTTCCATTATTTAATATTATATTGTAGATATAAACCTGAGGCAATTTTTTATGAATAACTTCTGGAGTATTATAACACATCTGCCAAAAATTAAGGCGGGAAAAAAGATACGAAGAATAAGGCACTGTCATTGTAACAAATTCTATTCCACAAAACTGTATTTGTAATACTGAGACGACCTGGCCTGTTAGGCTAGTGGTTAGTGTCCCTGACTACTAAGCCGGAGGTCGTGGGTTCGATTTCCATACAGGACAAATATTGTGCCATGTACATGATCATTTGCTTTGTGGCTGGGCGTTGTTTAACTATAATATGTGTGTGTTTAGAGATATATGTTTATCAGTCTGGTTACCATGGTACAGGCTCGTAGTTTGGTATTCATTTTGGGATACAATTTATTATTTAAGATTACAATTTGAGAGCCGTGTGTTATTATTATTATTAGTTACAGCGTCAAACCACCGAACTGAATTCTGGAAGATTCGAATGCAGAACCAAATTGAATACGACTCGAGTTAGTTTCCATTCGATTCTCAATCTCTATCTTTTCGATTTTTTGTCTTGAACAAAATTATTTAATTCTACAATTAAATGTAACTTATAGCAAAGGACTTTCAAACACTTAAATATTTATTTCTATTTATTATAAGTAGGTATTTGTTACATCACTCTGGAAGTTATTAGCGATAGAGAGAACACAGGGTACAGCTGCCTGTGAGTGGAAGCGATACAGGCAACGAGAGAGATGGATGCCCAATAGTTCCCTCTGTTTCGTCTGATCGTTGAACAGGCCGGACATTAAAAATTTCGCCAGGTAACCACAGAGCTCGACCAGAAAGAGATAGAAAGAACTATTTGTTATGCATCTCTCGTTGCTTATATTGCAAGATTGGAGGGCTCTTGTTCACTCTATGCTGATATCTGTATGTTATCAGCTCTCTGTCATAATTCAAAATATATCTTTCTAATGAAATGTCGCCTGCCACACCATTATTGTACTAAGTAAATACAAGTATCATAATACTTTGTGATATTATAAAAGCTGTGCAAATGATTTAGTGTTTATAATATTGTAAATAAATGTTGCCATTATACTATTATTAATGTTACCGTTAAAATCAGCATCATGATAGGTATTGTGTTATTGTATTAAAGGTTATTTTTAATTTATGTCGTTAATTATGACCGCATGGCCGCAAAAATTTTTGGAAGTATCATAAAACTTGACTTGACTTAAACGTCCTAATCTCTGAACCCAGCAGTCTGATTACAAAAAAAAAAATCTGTTTGATAAAGTATTCTTTGAGGAAGTTTATAGTATATTATATGAAACCACACTACGACTCTTGGAAGCGTAACAGAGACTAAATCTGCAGGTGAAATTTTAGACAACTCCTAGTCAATTAAAAATTAATAAATACCCATACTTTTATGAAAAAAAACATGGAATTAAGTTTTCATTCATGGCAAAATGCAGAAAACTAAATTACGACTGCACGGATGGCGTAGTGGTTTAATCTGAGTGTTGTGGGTCCGATCCCCACATGTGACGACACTTTCTGTGACCCACAAATTGTTGTTCTGAGTCTGGGTGTTCTTTGTGTCCGTTTCATATATGTCTGTGAAGTCCCCCGCGATACAGGATATATTCCTAGTGCGCGAGTTGTCTTTTTAAAGAAATTAAGAAGAAAAAAAGAAGAAAATATCAGGATACTCTAACTCCTGCAAGTTAGTTAACCACAGAACTTTAACTTCTGTTATGATTTCAAATGTTAATAATATGTTTATACGCTATGTATCCTTAATATTTGCGATTGTATCTCTAACCTGTATTATTAATTTAAGAACAAAAAGTGATTGTATGTTTGTTTATAAGGTTATTCGCTAAGATAGATTACATAGATGACCTATTTTATTTTGATTGTACGGATTATTTTTATTTAAATAAGTATTTTTAAGAGATATTTGTGTGCGTCTGAAATATGAGATCAATTTTAAATGTTTGAAATATCTGTTTTATTTAAATAATATTTAAACTTTATTGCTGTGTTATATCTTCTCTCTCGCTTTTCTACAGTTTGTGGGTCAATTCTGTTAAAAGGGTGGAAGGGAGTGGGAAAGCGAGCACTGAAGGTCAATTCTCGTAATAAAATTTCACTCGTTTCAAAACTGACTTAAGAGGTATTCTCGTAGAAAAGTATTTAACATTTTTGTTGACCAACGTTGACTGTAATTTGATTGTATCGTATTGTGTCAAATATTCTGCTAGTCTTAGTAATACTTTACTACGAGAATACCTGTTAAGACATTCGTGACATAGAAATTGGATCGGCACCGAATTTTGAACAATTTTTATGACGAGAATTTATTACCTTCTAGTTGAGTTAACTATTGAGATCATCAAATTTAATTTCGAGATGTTAGAGTGCACGGATGGCGTAGTGGTTTGAGCGGTCGTCACGCCGAGTGTTGTGGGTTGAAACCCCACATGGGACGACACTTTGTGTGATCCACAAATTGTTGTTCTGAGTCTGGGTGTTCTTTGTGTCCGTTTCATGTATGTTTGTAAAGTCCCCCTCGACACAGGATATATTCCTAGTGCGGGAGTTGTCTTTTAAAGGAAACGGAAAACAAAACAAAGAGTTAGGCACTTAAACATATAAACTGGCGAAAACTCAGTTCTCACAGTGTTATTTAGTTACTTTAGGGATATTTGTTATAAAAATGAAATTTTAAATAAAATAATGTTTTTTTTTTGTAATTATGAATGATATCCTTGTCACACATATTTATGTTTTTTTAACATAAACAGTAAGCTTAAATGCTCACTTAATTGGAAATTTATTATAACTAGAAAAATATTTACAACATTTATTTTTAAATATTTACAAATGATAACAGCGTAAGAGAATAATATGTAAATAGAATATAAATATTTTATGAAATATTTACATTAAAATTGCCCTTTAGTATGCGAATAGGTATATTGATACTAAATTAACTAATATATGTTATGTTTTTACTAAATGGTTAAATAAAAAGCTACAATAAACATATTTACTTGTATGAAAAGGCTATGATGCGTCATTAACCGATAAATAATATGACAGCTGTCATTTGGCATCATGCTTTTAAATTACCTAAAATGTTCAACAGGTTACTATATAAAGTAGTTAGTATATACATAACTAAACCTCCTTTCTAAGGAGAGGCCTATGTCCAGCAGTGGACTAGTATAGGCTGTTGATGATGATGATGATATATATAATAAACATCCTTACTTGAAAACGATGAAAAAATAACATACTAAAATAGACAAAACATACTAGATAGATAAATAACATAATAGTACATATTGTAAAAATAAACAACTATGAAATAAAGATATTTGAGTTTAAAAGTCAAACAAAGCAAACTGCCTCTCATCATTATCATCATCAACAGCCTTTAATAGTCCACTGCTGGACATAAGCCTCTCCTTAGAAATTAGGTTTTGGCCTACTATACCACGCTGGCCGTCGGGTTGGTATAGTTTATTATCTCTGCAGTGCTGTTGTCCTGCATAGTTTTCTCCCTTAGTCGTCTCTTACGACACCTTCGGGATGAATAGGGGTGGTGACACTCTGTATTCTTAATCCGTCAACACACGGACTGCTTCTCGCATTAATGTTAACAGTATTGTTAATATGTTATTGTAACAGTATGATCAATAAAGGAATTGATAACAAACATTTATTTACTAAAATGGGTATAATGGTAAAGTTGTTACAAAGATTATTTGTTCCTCCATATTCCACCTTGTGGCGTACAAATATTTCAAGATACTTTTTTATATTACCATTTCACTTTAAATTCTTTTGAAAAAAAGTTAAAACGACTTCAAACAATACTAACAAAGACCAACTAAATGCATTGCTCTAATGAGACAGGTTTCGTAGGTAAAAAACAAAAATATCATCGATGCATACAAATTTTAGATTTTTGTTGATTTTCAGAAATCGCTTGATAAGATATCAATAAAATTTAAATGGCACCACCTGGGAAGTATACCCTTTAAAACAAAGGCGGTTCAGGCGTCTTCGAGTAATCGGTAAACATACATAAAAAGAAAAAGATTCAGACGAAATGAGAACTTCTGCCTTTTTGAAAGTCGGTTAAAAAATACATTTT